GAGAAAGAAAAGGGAAAATCAGCACTATCAGGAAAACGAAGCCAACTGTCATCGCGTACATCCGTGGAATGGACTTCAATTCACCAATCAGCATTAGAAAATCTATTAAACGAGGTCACATCCCCTCCTATTCTAGCGTACCCGAATTATGAGTTGCCTTTCGTGGTTCACACCGACGCGTCACAGGAAGGCCTGGGGGCAGTCTTATATCAAGAGCAAAATGGAATCCTACGAGTTATCGCATATGCATCAAGAACATTAAGCCCTTCCGAGAAAAATTACCATTTGCACTCAGGGAAGTTGGAATTTTTAGCCTTGAAATGGGCGGTAACAGAACACTTCCGAGACTACCTATATTATGCTCCAAAGTTCCTGGTCTACACTGACAATAGTCCCTTGACCTATGTCCTTACCACCGCGAAATTGAACAGTACGGGACTACGATGGGTTGGCGAATTAGCTGAATTCAATTTTGACATTCGATATAGGCCTGGTAGGATAAACACGGATGCGGACTGTCTCTCGAGACCACCCTTAGAGATACGCGAATATATGACAAGCTGTAGCGAAGAGATCTCTCTAGAAACCATCCAAGCGACTATTTCCTCTGTTGAAGCCCACGCAGCCGGTGATGTAGTTTGGTTGACAGCTGTAACGGACGAGACTAAAGAAATGGAAGCTGATGAACTGTTCGAGAGTACAACGTCAAGCAGGCTGAAAGTAATCGACATCCTCAAAGGCCAGCAGGAAGATCCAACGATCAAACGTGTTCTACTGTTTTGTAAGCTGTGTCAAAAGCCGAAAGTAACTGATCAACGCCGAGAACCGCCCCAAGTACGGAAGTTCTTAAATAAATGGAAACATTTACACATTGATAAGAAGACCGGTTTGCTGTATCATAATCAACAGCTGGTCCTGCCTCAGAAATTCAATCGGTTGGTTTACCGCGAATTACATGAAGAAATGGGACATTTGGGGGTAGAAAGAGTGTTAGCCCTTGCTCGAGAAAGATTCTTTTGGCTTAATATGAGGAAAGATATCGAACATTTCGTACAGCGGACATGCCGATGCATAAAGCAAAAACAACCGAGTCGTCACACCGTGGCACCCTTACACCCGATCGTTACAACAGTGCCCTTTCAGATGATATCAATCGATTTTATGCACCTAGAACAGAGTTCAGGTGGATACCAATACATACTCGTAGTAGTTGATCATTTCACCAAATTCGCCCAAACATACACTACCAGAAATAAAAAGGGAAAAACTGTCGCAGATATTATCTTTAATGATTTTGTCCAGCGGTTCGGATTTCCGGAAAAAATACACCACGACATGGGCGGAGAATTTGAGAATGAGTTATTCAAACGTCTGGAACAGTTGTCTGGAGTGATGCATTCACGAACAACTCCTTATCATCCCCAAGGAAACGGATTGGTTGAAAGGATGAATCGAACACTACTAGGGATGCTTCGAACTCTCCCCGAAGCTTACAAGTCTCGATGGAAAGACCACCTCAGCAAGCTGACACACGCATACAACTGCACAGTCCATGAATCGACAAACTACTCCCCGTTTTATTTGCTGTTTGGACGTAGCCCAATATTACCGATCGATTTGATATTTGACTTACCACGAACATCCGATACGACATCACACTCGGACTATGCATCAAAATGGAAGACTGCTATGCAACAAGCCTACACACTCGCACACAAGGCGACTTCAAAGAATGCGGCGAAGGGTAAGAAGAATTACGATCGACGAGTCAGGTGTTCAAGTCTTGAACCGGGAGATTGCGTGCTAGTACGCAACCTCACGCCTAGAGGAGGTCCAGGTAAACTTAGAGCATATTGGGAGGAAGCTGTACATGTTGTTGAATCGCGTAAAAGTTCGGACAGCCCAGTATATGAAGTGAAGCCAGAGTCAAGTCATGGTCGAAACCGCACACTTCACCGTAATCTCCTATTACCATGTGATTTTCTTCCGATTGAAAATTGGCCAGAAATCGAGCGGACAGTTATTAAAAGAGTTCCTCCCAGAAGTCCCATCTCAAAACCCGGCAACGAAGAAACAGACGAAGAAGAGAGCGTAGATGAAAGTGAAGATGAAATTCGCATTACTTGGAACACTGACCAAATTAATAATGCTGCAGCCGCAGACGGAGATTTCGTTGGTGAACCGAACCCAGACATTGCCGTCGATGAAGCAGATGGTGGCGACGCCACAGACGAGTCTTGGGCTGATGATGAAAACCATGAAATAACTGGAGATGAACAGGCGATAGAAAACTCTACAGACGATGAACAAGAAGAAGTACGTGATGTGCGTTCGCAACGAAACAGGCAACCGCCCCAGAGATTAACTTACCTCGACCCAGGGAACCCAGCTTACCTTAGACCCATCTGCAGCGAAGTTGCCAATCAATTTTACCCCATGTCACCACACGTACCACCTATCCCACCATACCTACCACCTATACCACCATACCTACCACCACCTATGACACCATACCTACCACCTATACCACCATACCTACCACCACCTATGACACCATACCTACCACCTATGCCACCCGTAGTACCTACTCCAAGCGAAGTACAACCCTTTGGATCAGTACCTCTAAAGTGGCTTCCTATACCTTGTCACCCGTATACGTGTCCCCCTGTGATGCCTCTGAACTGGCAAAACCCACCTTTTCCCTACCCAATCCAGTAATATTAACCTTATACCTTAGTTATTGAGTTAGAACGTTATGAGAAAAACCCTATAAAACGGTGTTACTTGGCGAAGTAAGACTCTTTGCTGAATATTAATCAGGATGGTTATTGAAGGACGGTAGTGAGATTTTGCGAGATGGGACTGATCACCCCACTCTAGGAATCATTTAAGATCCCGAACACGAAGTAGCTACTTGCATGAGCATAATAATTATCCTGTATTAATTTGTTGAAATAGTGATTTCATTTAGAGGGGGAGAGTGTACCCCACCGGAATTAGCACCCGGAAATTAGATACCGGAACTTGATATAGTATGACGTAACGGGAAAATGCCCGGATATAAAACACATGTTGTCTTGATTTAGTTTTGAGAGTTACCGAAAAAGCGTTGTAAAATACCGAGGAAAACGTACGAAATAAATATAAGTAATACACCGAACCCGTGTGGAAACTTAAGTAACAGACACATGACAGGGGGGGTTGAATATTTTCACGAATATGTTCGCCACCACAGAAACATAACTAAATATATTGTATTTATTATATTTTTATGATTTATGACAAAACTACGCAAATATTTATTGTTTTTATTATAAATCATAAAAATACAATAAATACAATATATTTAGTTATGTTTCTGTGGTGGCGAACATATTCGTGAAAATCTTCAACCCCCCCTGTCATGTGTTCACGAGAAGTTTTCGCGAAGATTGCGCGTGACTTTCAAATGATTTGTTTTTTATTTTGAACCTAAATGGTATACGGGAGGATTTTTCCTTCCTAATGGGACAAATGTTGCCAATTTTTGGATTGGGACTATTCTACAATGAAGTACTCTTGGATACTGTAATCTAAATACATATGGAAACGAAGAAGTTGCATTTATCAGACAGAGAAGCGGCGAGCCATTAAAATGGCGGCAATTTGGCGGAATATCGAAGGACACAATATCGAAGGTAAAATACACTGCACTGTTACAAAAGTGGATGAAACCTTCTTTGAAATCTTCTTCAGCCATTTATGATTATGTAAAAGTACAATAACTGGATGATATTTGCGAGATTCGGCGATAAAAAGCAAACAAGACGGCAAAATATGGCTGAAATCGTGTTTTCGTGGGGGGTAAGTGAAATAAAATGTATTATATTTAAAGAAAACAATGACAATCCTTATGAAATCAACAATATTTATATTAAATTAAGCATAGTTTTTCACCCCATGATAATTTTTTTTAGGAAATAAGAATATTTAATTTCTGCCAGGCATATTAGTTATTTTGTGCATAATCAGCAATTTACCTGGGGTGGTGCATAGTCATTTTCTGGTAAAATATTATACTTCGACAAATTTTTCCTTCCAATGACCACCCCTAAAAGCAACCCTTCTAAACACTATAAGCACTTCAGAAAGGCTATCGCTTTTCCTTTTCTGAAGTTAGAGCTATGTCGACACTGCCGTTTCAGGGCGGGGTCATTTTCAGGACTTTCGCCCCGGATTCAGGTTTTCGCACATATGCCATGTTGACCGCCATGGTCATTTTACCCTAAAACAGTTGAGATTACCTGTCCTAAATGAATCGCATACAAACTCATACAGGTCCTAGACTACAGACATGATATATTCCGACGGCAATTTTGACACCCTCGTTCAGGCAACGAATCTCGCTCAATATTCTAGCTGCAATACTATAGCTCCGGCTGAAATATAGGCATTTTCATGTCGTTAAATTTCGAATTAATATAAGCGGTTGAAACTCGCGTGATGTCAAAAATAGCCTTGACCAGAGTTTCGACTGACCTGACTTGACCTGACTTGGCCGCCATAATTTTGTACTAATAAGAGTTCGACTTCTCTATGACTCTGTTTTAGAATTGAACAACTCCAGTCCAGATAACTTATTTGTTCTCCAAACAGCCGAATTTAAGCTTACAAACAAATATCTAACCAGACTGACTGTAAAAATGATGAAATATAGGCAGCGTTTACACTGTACCGTTTTCGCAGCGTTCTCGTATTGTTCTTAATCCTCAAGGGAACGCAAGACAATAGTCTAGTTCTCTCGAACAATACGAGAACGCTACGAAAACGGTACAGTGTAAACGCTGCCATAGGGACTACCAACTTTTCATTTAAAAAACCAACTTTTCGATACAGTATCTGCCAGTCGTCTCCTTCGTTTCTCTTCTCCCTTCCCGTCTTTCCCCGCGCGCTTTCATTTTCAGTTTTCCACGCGCTCGCATTTGCGTGTGTCTCGCAATATCTCAAATCTCACTCGCTCTTGGTCTCTGGCTCTTGGTATTGCTTTGACTTTTACATTTTTGTTTTAAATTTTCAAGCAATTTCTCGAGCTCTATTTCCAAGACCTTTAGAGACGACTGGGGACGAGTCAGTATTAGGAGTGTTTCGTGAATTTATCTGGTTTTAAAGCTGATAAAACAACATTTTAATGAACGAAAACGTTGTAATATTTAGTGTAAAACATTAAGCTATGCATTCCAAAGGTTTTAAATTGAAAATAAGCACTTTTGCTTTATTTTATTGCTTTTTATGCTTTGAAAACAGGCGAGCTCATTTTTTGGCAAAAATCTAATCTAATATTTTACCCATCATTTGTTTAATCTGAACAGAAATAGATAGAACACTTGGCTACATAAATTACAAAGGTATTGTTAGCTTATCTGAAAGATTTCAGTATTCCTGGTACACATTTTAACAAAGAATGAAATGTAATTTAAAAAATTAAATATGCATATCACAAACAATAGTTTTTATTAGAACAACACATAATAAGTTGTTATTTTCTATTTTTACAAAAACAAGTTTGGAAACAGGATTTAGTCCTCCAGCTTGATGTCATATTCCATTTATTTGTATATTTCAATAAAGGAATGTGAAATAATAATGTGATCTTGTGCAAAATTTGATACCAACACACATGTGAACAGATACTATCACCTAAAAATAAAAGAAAACATAACTTAAATTTATCATCTAATGCTATGAAAAAAATAGGTACGCAAAGCGTACATGTATCTGCGAAAAAACTTGATTAACATTTTGTATTTCCTTGAAAAGAACTGAATAATGAAGATGACATGGGACAATTGAAATATTTCATCACTTATTATTATAATAAATATAATAGCAAATAAGACTTTAGCGGAGGGCAGCAAGGACAACTGCCCTCCCCCCCCCCCGGCCGATAAAATGTAACTAATTTTATATAAATGTGATTATGATTGTAACATAATTATGCAGTCAAGAAATAAAAATGTCATGCAAACAATATTTGAAGTGTCTATACAGCCAACAGCCGGCTATTTAGTAAACTGTCAGCTGTCACTTGTCAAACCATGAAGTTTCAAAACTTTATTGTAATCATATGATCAGCAAAAGTTCTGTCACTTGTTGTTTACAGTTGCCAATGTTAGGGGTGCACTGGAACTCGGTTCCGGTCGGAACCCTGATTTGTGAGAGTTCCGGTTCCGGCCGGAACTAATAAACATTTGCTAACATTTGCATGCTCTCTCCTTGTATCCTGATTAAACTGCGCTTTAAAACGTTCGACATAAAAATATGACTATCAAAATGAAGAGAGAGGTGAGACGAATCCACTGGTATACGGCCGAAAAAGAGAAAACCAACGATACCAAAGTTATCAAGGATCAAACGTACTGCATTTTTTATAATTAGTTGAATAATTTTAAGCGATTTGTCAACAATAGTCGATACGATTTCGCTTGGCTTTCAAAGACAAAGGCCACAATTTCCATAAATCGTTGGAATACACTGTTGTTTAGTAAAAATTTGACATCCGTAAGTACAATTTCTTACGCTGAATCGAACAGTGGTATTTTTATCCGTATTGCGCCATTAGGACTGATTACAAATACAAAGACAAACGTACTGCGAGTGATTTGTCTGTCTGTCAGTCAGCAAATATCCTATATACGTACTGCGAGCGATTTGTCAACAATACAATTTCGCTTGATTTTCAAAGGCCATAAATCGCTAGAACACTGTTGTTTAGCAATACATTTGACATCCGTAAATGCAATTTCTTACGCTGAATCGAACGGTGTTATTTTTATCCTTATTGCGCCATTATACATTAGGTGTCATCACTGTCATTAGACATTACAATATCATATTTCACACTACAGTTTTCACGTTCCAACGCTATAAACTATTAGGGACTGTTGCTGCATAAATTTTAAATTGATATGACACCAATATGCTTCTCATAAAGTAGTTATCTATTAAAACTACGTTGTGTAGTTTAGGTTATAACCTTTTACCTTGCAATTGTCTTTGGCTCGTTTATAATCAGATTCAGTATATTTAATATGATCGTGCACGGGAATTCAAAGATCCAAATTTCCGATTTTCAGAGTCGTGTACCAAGAAAAATGCATTAACTAAACTAGCAAAAATGCCCAGAGTTAGACACAATGCAAAATCCATAGAAAACCGGTACAATTCGTTGAAAATTTTAACGAAATTGTTTGAAACATTTTGCCCACTCACGAAAGGCCGCCATTTTGAAAAGGATAAATTGGGTTTATTAGGCAGTCATTAATGCGGGCACGATGTAAACAATCGATGTAAACTAATCGCTGATTGGCTTAAATTGGCTGATTGGCTAAAATTATATAAGCTCGTCGTTGAATGGCTAGGGATACGGTAACATTACGTTTGCGATAGCAATATATCTGCTTCGCAGATACAAAAATCTTAGATCCTACAGGCATATAGTGAGCACAATTCTTTAACAAACTCACTAAAATAAGTTAAGTTTCACTATGATAAGAGGATGGCAATAGATAACAACATCAAATGTTGTCATCTTCAGTGTCCAAAAAAAGTGCCGCACGCATTTTTCATGGTCGCATAACTGGTATTGCCACAAACCCAGGTGAAAAAGCAATTAGAAAAACCTGGTTTTGGGTGATGAGCATAGTCAAATTCTTGACTTATTAAATTTTCTATGTTTTTCCAGGTAAACAGATTAAACATTGAAATAAGTCACATTCGGGACCTCATAGAATCCAAACTATTGTGTATGGACCAGACTTTTTTCAATTTTCTGTGATTTACATAACACTAGTTATAATTTAAGGGTCAACCAGTATTGTTCAAGACATATTTTCCTTCCAGAACACCTTTTCAAAATACTAACCTCAACATGTCATAGCGTTCCTTCGTACGCAGAACATTCGGCTCCTCATTTATCTGGACGATATTCTAATTGTAGGTTCAAATATAACAGCCTTGAACAAACACACGCAACTGGTTTTAGAGCTTCTGAGAAGCCTGGGCTTTATAATAAATTTAGAGAAGTCCGTACTAAACCCCTCCCAAGTGATGGAATTTTTGGGTCTACTAGTCGATTCCAGGTCAATGAAATTCTACCTGCCGCCCCCCAAAGTGATGAAAACAACCCAACTATGTTATTCACTACTTCAAAGAAACCCGGTTTCACTGCGCCGACTGGCGCAATTGCTGGGCTTTCTCGAATCAACACGCCCTGCAATATGGTTGGCGCCACTTCATTTCAGACACCTTCAGAACCATCTGATACAACAAGTAACATTGAACAAAGGTTCTTACGAAGGCCTCGTATTCCTGGAACCCCTAGCACAAAGGGAACTGCAATGGTGGATTTCCAACATCCAGCAGGTCAACGGCAGTCTAATCCATCCTCCCACATACGAACTGACGATAACGTCGGATGCGTCGAAATTGGGTTGGGGGGGGGGGCACATGCGGCCACCTCACAGCCAAGGGCAGTTGGTCCGCACAGGAGCGTTTAATGCACATCAACATATTAGAACTCAAAGCAACCTTTCTGACAATCCAGACATTCCTGAAACACAGGACAAACACGTCAATAAAGTTAAGGCTCGACAATACAACCGCAGTCGCGTACATAAACAACAAAGGGGGGACACGTTCCCCAAACTTAATAACATTGTCACTGGAGCTGTGGAACTGGTGTGTCAGTCGAAATATTTACATACAGGCAGAACACTTGCCAGGAGTAGCGAATTACCTAGCGGACAGAGAATCGAGAACGTGTGTCGATTCGAGCGACTGGAGAATTCACCAGAACCTCATTAAGAAGTTCCTTCAGGACAAGAGACATCAACCTCTTTGCAACCAGACTGACACACCAGCTCCCACGTTGTGTGAGTTGGCATCCCGACCCACACGCGTTCGCAACCGATGCATTTACTCTAAATTGGGGCATTTTGAAAGGCTACGCCTTCCCCCCTTCAACCTCGTACCGCGAACACTAATCAAGGTACAACAGGACAATGCCACCATCGTCCTGGTGGCCCCAATATGGCAGGGGCAGACTTGGTGGCCCCTTCTTCTTCAACTGGCAATACGATCTCCAGTGATCCTGCCGTCGACTCCAGAAACACTAGAGAATCCTGCCAACCCAACAACGATCCATCCAATGTTTCCACGCCTGCATCTAGCCGTTTGGCTTGTTTCCAACGATCCTGTGAAACAGGAGACCTTCCGGAACACGTTACCAGACTTCTCTCAGCCGCTACTCGTAAATCGACTCACAAGACTTACGACTCCGTATGGCGAAAATGGTGTGGCTGGTGTGATCGACGGCAAATTGATCCAATTTCAGCAGGTTTAAACGACATTTTAACGTTCCTCGGAGAACAATTTGAGAACAATTTGCAATATCGTACACTCAATGTGTTCCGATCAGCTATCTCGTCTACACATCGTTGGGTTGATGGGAAACCTGTTGGTCAACACCCTCTGGTGATTTGTCTTCTGAAAGGAATCGCTAATGAACGGCCACCTCAACCTCGTTACTCTACAACATGGGATGTCTCTAAAGTAACTGCATATTTATCTTCTCTCGGACACAACAATATGTTGTCTGTCAAACTACTTTCCAAGAAACTTGCGATGCTTTTGGCCCTAATTTCACCAGAACGGTCCTCAGTCCTAGCGGACCTTGACATTGGTCGTTTAAAGAAACAACCAGATGGTTTCACGTTTACACTCACGAAACCACGCAAAACAGGTGACCCAATATCTGAGGCTTCAGTGTCTTTTCCAATTTTCCCTGAAGATACATCTCTTTGCCCAATGGATTGTCTTAATGTTTACCTGAACCTAACCAGCGGTTTTCGCACATCACCTGGCCATGGGAAACTTTTCTTGTCATTCCAACGACCTCACAACCCAGTGTCTAGATGGGCATGTAGTAAAACACTGACTACCGGAACACCGGAACACCACCGGAACACCACCGGAACACCACCGGAACACCACCTAACCCTAACCCCAACCCTAACCCCCAACCCTAACCCTAATCCCAAACCCTAATCCTAACCCCAAACCCTAATTCTAATTCTAACCCTAACCCCAAACAAAATGGTGGTGTTCCGGTGTTCCGGTGGTGTTCCGGTGTTCCGGTAGTCAGTGTTTTACTACATGCCGTCTAGATGTACCGTTGCTAGATGGTTATGTGACGTCATACAGGAAGCTGGTATTGATTCTTCAATTTTTAAAGCACATTCCACACGAGCAGCGTCCACTTCCGCAGCTGCGAAAAACAATTTACCTCTTGGTGACATTTTGAAAATGGGAGATTGGTCCTCTCCTTCCACCTTCCAACGGTTTTATTACAAACCTGTTGTTGATGTTTCTTATGCACAAACAGTATTGATCAATAGTGCTAGATAAAATTATGTTATTACCAAACTCGGTTTTATTGTTATCACATATATTTACAGGATTTTTATGTCGAAATATATGAGTTTAGTACCGCGTTTAGCGTTGAAATCTACCATTTGTTTTCCCATATATTTCGACCGGAGTTTGCGAAATATAATTCCAATTACACAAGGGCCTATGAGGCCTGCGTGTGTAATTAAGGTTATATGAGCAAACGAAGGGAGAAATATATGGGTTCCCACCCTTTCGTACCTTACTGGGTACAAAATCCCTCCCTGGTATTCACTAGGAGGCTTTACACGTTGAAAATAGCCGACGGAGCACACGTGGCCGGCGTATTTATACGTAAGGACGATCACGTGATCTGGGCTTTTTTCTTCTGTTCACTTCCGTTACTGTACCGGAAGCGTTAAATTGTGAGCTAATGCACAGGAAAGGCAAGCCTTACCATTTGTTTTCCCATATATTTCTCCCTTCGTTTGCTCATATAACCTTAATTACACATGCAGGCCTCATAGGCCCTTGTGTAATTGGAATTATGCTGAAAAAATAAAAATGATTCCTTACTTCCCGTCACCACCTGCGCGCATAAATTGAAAGCTGGTATATATGGAATGTATTAAAAATAAAATGTTTCTATATGTCTTCTACCTAGGTTGAAATAGAATAATAGATGCATATCAGAACTACGAGAAAGCCTTGGGGTGTTATGAGATGCATATAAATGTCTTGCAAAGGCAAAATTATACATTGCTTCAAGTCAGGAATTTAAGATGGCGTTCATTACAAAGAATTCGTTTGATCAAGAAATTTATTCAAGCGAAAAGGTATACACGTGAAGTATAATTCAATATCTCTTATACGGATAGCAAGGCTTCCGTATTAGGAAAATGGAAGAAAAATTTTAATCCGCCGAAAAATTTTAATCCGACACCAGCATTAAAAACACAAGATGAAGGCAAAATGGAACAGACAATTCCCATTATAGACTAATTTTAAAACTAGGCAAGAAGATTCAAATAAATCACCACAGCTACAGGGTTCGTAGCGGTCTTTGAAATCCTTGAAAGTCTTTAAATTTGAATGCAGGTCTTTAAGGTCTTTGAAAAGTCTTTGAAGCGTGTGAAAAAGCGAAGAAAGTCTTTAAAAGTCTTTAAATTCTTTAGTGATTATTTGATTATACGATTTCCTAGCTAATAAAATATATTGATTGAAGCAAGATTTTCGCAAATATCGACGAAAAAGTGCATTTTAGGATGTGATTTGAGGGGACTAATTACCTGGTAAAAATGTTGCTGATACATCGCAATTTTTCAACACCTGGTTGCTCTCAAAGGTCTTTGAAAAGTCTTTGACAATAGGCAAGAAAAATTTTGAAAGTCCTTGAAATTTTTTGGTCTTGGAGACTACGAACCCTGACCTAGAACGAGCATACTAAAATGAGTAAATTTGCAAAATTCGGTTGCGAAATGTTGTAAAATGCGGAAAATATAGCCTTGCAAAGTTCGCAAGTCTTATATATATTGCGTGCGGAAATTCCTGCCACATTTGGGCCGAAAAGGTAGCAAGGTTATAGCCTGCGAACAGGCTCTCAAGCTGAATTGAGAGCCTGCATCGATGACTGATGAATTTGAATATCTGCCCCGTAACGTTCGTTTTTCCAAATATGGAATGTCTATCCTTATATGGTGTTGTTTACAACTTTCGTGCAAACTAAATTTAGACCGTGCAAACTAAATTTAGACCGTACAGTTTATACTGTTTTTCGAAATATAAGATATTCAAGCAAAAGTTTAAATGTTTTAAATACTGTTTTCTCAAAACAGAACATTTCGTGCTTTGAGATAAGACGGCCAAGACCAATTTGATCAGTTAATGTGTTTTTTATGCATAGTGCTTCAGCAGTTGACATATATAGAGCTCAGAGGAAACATATAAATTATAGCATCTGACCAATGAGAATTTCGCGTCACGATTTGAGACGCAGATATTCAAATTCATTAGTCATCGATGCAGGCTCTCAATTCAGCTTGAGAGCCTGTTCGCAGGCTAGCAAGGTTACTTTGTTTAGTACTTAAAATATCAATTCTGCTCTCCTTCCTCCACTCTAAGCTTTCAAATTATTTTTCCTCAACCTGCCTGGTTATTTTCGAAAACGACGTACTATTTCGTAAAACCGATTTAGTTATTTGTCATCTTAAATCTTGAAGTTACCTTGTTGAAGAATGAAAGTAGTGATACATTATACACTTAATGTCTGCACCCGAGAGAAATAGTTAGTTTTGTTTTCCCGAGAATCTCAATGTTTCCCGAGACGAAGTCGAGGGAAACATTGAGATTCGAGGGAAAACAAAACTAACTATTTCCCGAGGGAAAAGACGTTAAGTGTTTTGTTATATAGCGACGAAACAAATATCAACATTGAACAACATTCATACAACAATATTTGTATTTCATGACAAAAACTCTATAGCGTAAACGAGTTTAAAATTTAAAAAACCTACTTCAAACACTCATTAATAATTCATAAGCTTATTGGCAAATCATGTCAACCATAATATGTCATGTGCAGTGGCTTTAAACCTGATAAAACACTCCTAATTAGTATTTTTTATATAAAGAATACTAATAAAGCAGTATCTATTGTAGTCGTGTCCTCATTAGTATTCTTTATATAAAGAATACTAATAAAGCAATATATCTATTGAATTTGTAGTCGTGTTTGAAGCCGTTCAATAAACTCGCAGGTCGTGTTTTATTAGGTTTTATTAAACCTAATAAAACACTCCTGCTCGTTTATTAAACAGTACTTAAATGGTTTCAGCAGCATATCCTGTTGCCTGTTATGTATTTGTCTTCTCTTTTACATTCTTTATTTTAACACAAAGCCACGAAAACAGTAGTTTAAATAGTATAAATTTGTGCCACCATTTGTTTATTTATGTACGTAGCCAGGGCGGGCAACAATTTTTCACTTATTGCCCGGGCGGGATACATTGCATTTATCTAAAGCCACGTGACTACAAATCAGCCAATCACGTTTGGTGTTCACACTAGCTATATAACAATAGCATTTGGTTACAGAGCTCAGTTGTGTTGCTATCTAATCAATATACACTATAGTTAATTTGGATGACTTTAAGACCCCCCCCCCTAGACCGCCCCCTCCCAACAGCCGCCTACTTTATCAAAACAGACACCTACTCAGAATAATTCTGAAAGCCCTGTCCTTGCCTATATAGTTTTAAAATTACAGTATAGTCTATAATGGGAATTGTCTATTGCCCCCGATCTGGCGATTTTTCATTATTTTTTGATCCTCTATCTGCCTCACTATTTATACGTATAGACGTGTTTCACTTCACAGACATATATTCATTAATGCAAAAACTACGACATAAGTACTGTTGAAGTTATCCGCAAAGCGCTAGATATTCCTGGGCCAGGCGATACTGGATACAGCGAAGACAAAATTTTCAATGAAGCGGTCGAGGAAGATTTAAATAGCTTTGATTAAATCAAGGTAAAAACAATTAAAAAGTAATTCTAAAATTATTTTGAAAAAATCTTCTCTAAAAACAATGTAATAGAATCTTTCCAATTTAATCAAATATATATTTATTAATATATTTATTTGACTAATCTATGTTTGTGCTGAGGTGAAAATGGTAACAATACTACAATAGACTTTTCCATCAGAAATCTGTTGACTTGAGTGTTTCATTCGTCCAGCTTTGGAGAATGCAGTCCCTGTTTGGTAATATAAATATCTATAGGTTCATGAGTCCAAATTTTAAAAACACAAAGTTCAGGTTTATATCACTGTTTCCTTTACTTGAATAGTGAATTCTGGTGTCAACATGTCAATGCCCCACCTACCCATCCAGGGGCAAGTTGAGTCAACATAAACACTGCGTCTGGAGTTATCTTATCATCATCCAAATATACAGTGACTGACGGATACATAATAGATTGTAGCCACTCATAGAATGCTCGTAAGTCTCTCAGTTTATCTTGTTTATTATCATTCATAGCAAAAACCCTATTAAGACATGGCTTTGCTTCACATTCATGATCTTCGTCAGCCTCTTCGTCAGAATCAGAATAGTCCATGTTATGTTGTGGAATATGGAAGTCTAATTTACATTTCTTTAACTGGCCTTTGTCCTCTGGGTGGCTCGTGTAGTATTCAGATATTTTTGGATGAAAATGGAAGAATCCGTTTACTAGTTCTTGTGGTGTAGGTAGTTCTTGTTTGTCCCAAGGAAATATAACAACACAAATTTCATTCTCTTTTGATACCGCTAACCTCTCTACAATGAAACAGTTTACTGATTTAACTTTCTGGACTGTTTTTTAAGCCCCGTTTACACTACGCTCAATTTTTGGTAGGTAGTCCAAGAACCAAAAAGTGGTACGGTACCAAAAATTGAGCGTAGTGTAAACGGGGCTTTAGTATACATTGCAATGCTGGGCTCACTGTCGACCTCGTACCCAGGGAATTTTGCTCCCGCGATAGTATGGTTAGCGAAAAAGGCTAGCTGTGAGCAGCTGGGAAATTTGTCTGAGCATGCGCCAGATTAACCAAAATTTCCATTGAAACTTGAAGATTTCCCCGAAGAAATATAGCGAAGACGCTCGCGGTTGTTGTATATTCTTCGAGATATTTTTGAATGCCTGTTTAAACTTTATACTTTTTTGCTTGAGTCAAAGACAAAGTAAAATGTACTCTACGTTTCCAGTGTATAGAATATCTGTTTGAAGAGCAATAGAATATTATAATCCTCACACAAACAAGACTG